AACAGAAACAGAATTCCCACTGATTTCCCTTCACCTAGAGTGCAGGCTCTTGGATCACTATAACACTGCATCTGCTGATGGAGACTCTAGTCTCTGTTACAGAAAACAAGGACACTGTTTGAAGGGAACTTGGGCTGTGGGGAGCATCACCTTCACATATCAGTTGCACTCACAGTGTGGGGTAACCTTGCATTCTGGTCTGCATAACCACCCATGTAACCTTTTCTTACAAAGGCTGGGAGCCTAGGTGACAGCCCTTGCTATGTCCCAATGCAGGGCCAAATGGTTTCCTTATGTTGGGAATTGATCCTCTCTATGCCAGAAACACACACACACATCCACAGCCTGTGTCCTCATGACAAGCAGAGCTGTCTATACTGAAAGGCAGGAAGTTGCAAAAAATAGCAGCTGCAGCAGCTTCCTGCCAGGTCTGAGACTAGAAACAAAATGTTCTGGTTTTTCTTGAGGACCAGAACACAACAACTCCATATATATCTCACTAGAGCAAGGGGCGGAACATCCTGTGGGGAGTCTTTATGTATTTTTTGGGCTGGCAGCAGCTGGAGGACATTAGGCCGGGGCTTTGGAGTGTTCTGGCATCAGTAGCTCTGGGCTCATCTCTGCCAACCATGCTATTTGATAGCATGCGTCCCTCGCTGTGCCCAACAGGGCTGCATTGCCCAGATGCGAGGGACGGAGCAAGGCAGTGGCATTATCCATCCCACCACAACAGGGAGCCACTCTCACCCCCTCCACTCCATCCTCAGCCCAAAATGATCTTTTGAAAACACACACATGATCCTGTCACTCATCAGTGGTCTCCCATAGCTCAGGAGTGCTAAAACCTAGAAGTCATGGCCCTTATACTATTTCTGTAGTTCACTCTTGAGCTATCCTTCTCCTCACTCAAGTTGTGCTGGCTTCTCTACTCTTCCAATGAACCAAATTCTTCCTCATTTCAGAGGCTACTGCCCCTCTTTGCAGAAAGCTTTTCTTCCCACTTGGTCTAGCTCATGCATACTCATCTCTCAAATCTCCCTGAGAAAGGATTTTTCTGACTTCTCAGGCTAGATTAGGTCTCCCATTTAACACTCTGATTACATGGTATTATTTTCCTTCATTGTACTAGTACCAGTCTAATTATCTAGCCATGTGTATGTGATTACTGTCTTACTTTCACATGCAAACTTCATGAGGGTGGGCTATGTACCTGTTTTGTTTCACTTTATTCCCAGTGCCAAGTACAGTACCTGACATAGTATGTGCTCAACAAATTTTCTAGGCAGGAACAAAAAGAAGAAGGTAAGGTGGAAGGAAGAAGTGGAGGGAGGAAGGAAATGAGGAAAGGTAGGGAGAAAGGTAGATAAACGAGGAATGGAGATCCCAATATGGCTAATTAGGAACATACTTGATTCTTCATCTCTAGTGGGCAAGCTGGAAGGGTTAAGTGTAGTAGCTCTTACCTGAGGCCTCAATGCTTAAAGGAAGAAGTTGAACATCAGAATTTTATCCATGAAATAATGCCGAGTTCAAACCACAGAAGCAGGTCCAAGTGGGTCACCATAGCAAAGGGGGTCTGAGGTGAGTATTAGGTACAGAGAAAAATGAGAGTGGGAAAAGCAAGGAAAATGAAGGCAAGCAGGAAATAATCTATATGAATTCAAGAAACTGTAGGACAAGCCCATCCGCTGGGCTTTTTTCTTATACCTAGCAGCTTTTTATGCTTGGGCAAAGTCTGATTAAAGGGACATGGGCCACACACAGTTGCCATAATATATAGATATATATATTGTGCCAATGGTTTAATAAATTCTATATAAACCATTTTCTGGTGACTCTGGGTACAATAATGATACTGAATTAAGTTAGAGTTTATGCCATTTTGAACCTTAGAACCGGATCCTGGACCGTGGTGCCCGGCCAACATGTTGGAGCTCAGTGAAGCTATGCCTAAGCAGCCAGCCAGCCCCTCCTTTTCCTGAATCTCTATGGCACCCTCTTTTGAAATTCAACATTTGGAACCAAAATTATCAAGCTCTTAACCTACACTCTGTCTCATACCATTCCCCTTCTTGATTATCAGCTCCTGATTGACAGGGGAGGTATCTAGGTCATTTTCTCATCTACTCAGTCTAGCACAGTGACTTCAAAAAGTAACTGCTTAGAAATTATTGAATAAATATTGCTAAATATTTCATAGGTGCTGGGCACAATTACTCTAACAAATTTGTTAACTTCTTATGGAAAACATTTTTAGACCTGAATTCCTTCTGAAAATATAAGGAGTTGGACTAGATAATCTCTAAGGCATTTCCAAACCGTGAACTACTGGAACAATGACAAGTTATGTCATATATACATACATTTATTTATTTTAATGTCTCTATCATTCTTAGTATTTATTGGGCACATAGTAGGAACTCAATAAATGTTTATAGTGAACTGACTCCAATATAGATGTATTTAATTTGAGAAAAAACAGAGATGTGTTTCTGAGTTTCATATAAATTACTTATGAATTGAACACTACTTTAAATACAAAAGATGCATTTGTTATTAAATGGGATTCCTAAGGCAATAGTTTTTAAAATATTTGGAATCACTCTGTAATATAATTACTCCTTAATCCATTTAAGTTTCATATTTTTACATATCAAGGTTGCTGATAATAGGATAAATCAATTGGTAACTTACAGTTATGAGGGCCAATGACTTACTATTAACTAAATCAAGTTATTTTTCATAGAACTGTCCCTTTTCCTACAGTTTTCCCAGATGATCTCCTACTCTCTCTCAAAGTCTATCTTTCTCTCTCTCTCTCTCTCCTTCTCTCTCTCTCTCTCTCTCACACACACACACACACACACGTACTTTTTCCCCTAAGTCTTAACTCACATTTCACATTTGGTAGGTCTATCCTCATCTATAATGCTGCACATTAACTTTTCCAATACACCTTTCTGCATTACTCCCCCATTTAACAAAATGCCTCACCATTCTGGAAAACAGGTATGCCTCCCACGGTGTCTGGATCATTCACAGTATCTAGACTCTTCAAGGTTTCTGTGTTAGGTGGTGGCTTTTGTATGAGCATGCTGGATGCTGAAGCTTCCCCAACTAAGAAGCAATATCTCTAGATTAGCATCAAGGTGGGTTTCAGGAATGGGAGTGTTCCTTATTCTCTCTCATTTTCTCTATGACTTTCTGCTGCCCAGGGGCTTTTTCCATAAATCCAGTGAAAAATCAGAGAAGTGGGATTCTTCTCAACTATCTTACCTCAAAAGATTCTACTCCTTTGACATAAAGCGGGGGAAAGCAAAAATGTAACTAGATACTTTGAGACCCAGGTGGACGAGAAAGACATTTTTCTTTGGAACACTATCTTACAGGTTTTAAGAATATTGCCTACAATGGCAACAGAGACTTCCACAGATGAGCACAGAAAGGTTGAAATAATCAACTATACAATGTGCTATATATCTTATTCTCCTTCAACTCCCAAATTCTCCTTGTCCACCTGGGCCTATCGCCACATATTAGGCCAAAATCTCACCTGATACTTGTACAAAAAAAGACATTATTGAATGACAAATATTTTATCATAGTGGGGATGGAATAAACAAAGTCAGTTGACCCCTTAAGCCTGCATTTACACTAATAAATCTCATTTCCTTTACACAGACTCCCTGTAAGAGAAGCCATTCTGTCACTGGACTAGGATCAGGAGACAATGGTACCTGTTGTCTGAGGAGTCCCGACTAATTGGCGAGACTGAATCATACACATGGAAAATTCCAGATGTAATTCCTCTTTATGCATGGCTGTCTCCTAAAAATAGAGACAGAGTTTAATCCAAATGAAACAGATCAGTGGAATGATTAACATGGACAAAACTGACACGGACCAGACATGCTCAATACTAGGCCTTAGTACCTGACAGTATAAAATTTCAGCATATGAAGTGATAGAAATGATCTACTTTTATGCATTTGACAGGGCAAGATCCCCTGAACTCAGAAAGCATCTCCTTTCCCAGGAGCCTACAGAGGATTTCCTTGTCAAAGTCTGAGCCCAGAATGTGGCTGTCCTCGCTGTAGAGTGCAGGAGCGTTTCTTCAAGCCTTCTAGACAGGGCCTGTGTCAGAGGCCCACCAAGTTGAGAGGCGTGGTACAAAGTTTTAATGACAAACATTTATTCTCAAAAAGTATGGCACAGATTACAGAGTAAACAATTCCAGCCCAGTAACACCACCAGGGCCATTTAGTTCTTCAGAAAGCACACTCCTGGGTCCGTTCATATTTTTACTCAGAAAGGTAGATCTCTGGTGGAGCCCCCTTCCCCACCCCATAGCTTTCCCCACACCTCTGCCCGCGTTTCAAACTCTTCCCGAGTTCTATAAGGTTCTATGTGTCCAGAGTCCAATTTAAGCCAATTCTAAACTTTTTCTTCCTTCCCCAAATGTCCAGTCAAGCACGATGTGGCTCAGAGAGCACAGGGCAGCAAGTTCAGAAACTTGTTTCCTAGCCCCAGGTGTGCCACGCACTTTAAAACTTTGGTAAATGTTAGACTAAAATATCTCCAATAACCTCTACAAGCACTAACGTTCTATGATTCTAAAAAATACACGATATAACTTGAGAAAGATTTAGCTCTCCAGTTTCCGCAGATCTTCGGCCACCGCTAACGGATGCCATAGAAACCAGAGACCAAGCAGAAATGGCCAAGCGGAACCAGAAGGCGGCGGGTAAGGGGCTCGAGGGAACAAAGAAAAGCGAAGGACGAAAGGCGCGCTAACAGTATTCCGAAAACGAAAACGAAAAATGGCCCAAAATGAAAGGGGAAAAGGAAAATTTTGACTACAGCCTTAGACGCTTCCTTGGCTTCTCGGGCCTCACCACACTGCGCAGGCGTTCCGTAGGTCCTCAACTCTGCTCTTTGACCTTCCGCCCTGCCCCCACCCCCCGCAACCCCCCTGCTCCCGGCCTCCGCGGCGGCCCGGCGGCTCTTCCGGTGTTGTGGAGGCGGTTCCGGTTCGCGGCGGTTCCCGAGTTTTGCGTTCCGCGCCCGGCCGGAAACCCCTTCGCTTAGCAGCCGGTTCCGGTTCGGTGAGTGGCGGCGGGAAGCTGGGGGAGGGGTGAGGATGGAGGGAGCCTGGGCCAGGAGGCAGCGCCGGGCCGGGCCGGGCCTGGACCAGGCTGGGCGGGCGCGGGAACGGCCGTGGGGACGGCGCTCTCCCTCTGCCCCGCCCCCTGGGACCACCTCCCCTCCCCCTGCGGTCCGCCGGCCGCCGTCCGGCCGGGCGCCGGGAGTCGGGCCTCCCGAGGCCGTCACTCAGTCCCCCTCCTCCCGGGCGGGGAGAGGCAGCTCCCTGGCCCCTCGCAGGCCCGCCTCGGCGTCCGGTGCTCCTTGTGGGGAAAGCCGTTTGGGATTTCGGGGCTTTCCCGCCAGCGCGGGGTCTTCTCTCCGGGGAAAGCTGTTTTCGCCGGGAAGCTCGGCTTCCTGTTGCACCTGCTTCACCTCCCGCTTCCTTTGAGAATGACTGGTATTTCTCGGCTGCTTCTGCGTCTCACGTAAACATTTCTCCAACTCTCTCACTCGGTGGTATTTCCCTGACATGTGATACATCGCTAGTGCCACCACCAGAAAGAAACGGCTGGACCCTTCTGCCCAGGTCATGAAAATCCCCTTACCGGCCACAGTTTGCTTACCTGGCTCACCGTCTCTTTCTCGGTGCACGCTAACGTGATGTCTCTGAATACATGCCCAGTTTCTCTTGAGCTTGGTGATTTCTGTTTATCGGTGCCTAAGCAGTATTACCACTATCTTGTTGGCAATAACTTACTCCTCTATCACTTTCAACTCAGCCTTGTTAAAGTCATTTCACTTAAGGTTTGGTGCACTTAACTGGGGTGGTGATGATTCCTACAAAATTTATATAGAGCCTTCTACCAACTATCTGACTTGGGGTTCTTGTTCTAAGTAAATGTTCTGGAAGCGATAGATTGCATCATTTCCTAAGTCATTACTTTTATAATTTGCGTTAATTCATGCTGAGAGATATTACACTGCCTTAAGTATCTCTTTAAGCACGATCCCTTGAACTTCTTCCAGTTTAGAAATTCCCTTTTTGCCCTCGAATCCCATTTTGGAAGCCTCAATAGTTTTGTTGAATGAAATCGACACAGCTATGGTATTAAGAAAGAGTTTATGTAGACTCAAATTTAGGATTATAACCAGGGAGGTTAGTCAGTCAGAAAGTTCTGAGTGGTTCTGTAACTCTTCATCTGGAGACAGCTTATATGCCTTTTACAGCAGGGGATATGTGCAGGAAAGAGGTGACACTAAGCAGTACATCAAGCAGTGTGTCAAGGATACCTTTAGGTAGTGTCTTAAAAGAACAGACCATGCACATGTGGGTGCCCTGTATGCATGAGAGGTGGCAAGGGTTAGGATTGTTACTTCCTCTCCTAAAGGATTCTAGCAAAGACATGAGAACCAGACTCCCATTCAGTTTTGTCCTCTGAATATTCAGAGCTGTTTCCCTTCTCCAGTTTGTGTCAGGGGCTGTGACAGTCTCGCTGACACAGGTGAGAATGGCTGTATGCCATCTTCACAGCCCAGCATGAGTTGGCATGGCTACCTCAGGGCCTCTACAGCTTGCATAGCTCTCTATGCCTGTGTGACCGCCATGGGGGACCATAAAGACTGCATTTTATTTCACATATTCCCCATTATAATACCAACCTTCAGTTGCACATCACAACCATATGTTGATGTCAGGGATGATGTTTGTTGAGTCGGCAGTTTTCTTCTGGTCTAACTTCCTTATTTATCAAAAAACATTCCTTCTGAATCATTTCTGACTTTCTAGCTTACATGATTCCAACTTTTTCCTGCCTTTGTCTCCTCTGGCATCCAGCATAGTGCCCAATTCTACAAGGGAAAGTAATTCAGGTTACAGTAGTGGGTGTCATTTTAATGATATCAATATGTGTAGAAGAATTTAAAAGGCAAGAAAACCATCTAGTATAGTCTGAACAAATATTGGCATATTTTGCTAGCCTGAAATAAGAGGTTGTTTGAATTCCAGAGGTTATGCCCCTTATCAGTGGCCTGGGAGATAGAAATGAGGGCAGTATCTTTCAGGCCAATATCAGAGTAAAGGCAAGAAAGAGAAGAAAGGATTTTATATCTAGTTTAAGAATGAAGTCTTGATTTCTTGTCTTGAGTAGAAGCAGTATATACATCAATGTCCGCATCTCTTCCCTGTTACCCTGATCCAGAGGTCTTCTGTTGTTGTGCAAGACCAGCTGTCAGCTGGAGCTATCTTCAGTGTATGTCCAAGGCTCAGTGCTTCTAGAAGTTTTGTAGCAATGTCATGGTCAGGAGCACTTGGTAAGGTCCTCTCCAACGGGGCTCAAGAATTGTTTTCCTCTGATGATGTTCTCAGACTACCCCATCATAAGACTCTCAACTGTGATCATTAGAGTCCTCTGATTTGGAATCTGGGAAGCTTCTTTAACCTGTTTGTGATAGGCTGAAGCTTGAGACAAGGGATAGGAAAGGCTGTATTCCAATACACACTGTTCTATCAGTTATTATCTCCTATGGAGTGAGTTTATGTTTCCAAAGAGGGGTACTGTGAATAGTCAGCAGAGCCAGAGGCAGCACCTTAGGTCAGAGGAGTTCAGTACAGAGATTTTAAGTTTGAGGCGAAGATGTTTGGAAGGGTTTCATTAGGCTCATATGATTGCCCTGTAGAGTGGGTGCCCTGGGGATTACAGATTACAGAAGGTATACCCCAAATGGGAAATGCATTTTCTAACAATTTCTTTGTTAGAAAGAAATTGGGTTAGAAAGAATAGGGTAGTCTGTGAAGGCATTAACCATGTGGCAGGGGAAGTCTTCAACCCACCCAGAAAACATGTACAATCATAAGAATATATTGATAATCTGTGCCATTTGAATGAAGTCCGCCTGCAGGTGTTCAAAGGATGGAGAGCTGGGAGGTAAAACAGGATTTGCCAGGGAGCTGGGAAGAACAGGCAGCCATTTTGGGTTTCCCACAGTCCTGTCTGTCTGTTGATTTTACAACCATTATTAGCCCCCTTTAATTTCTCCAATTCAGGAGCATACCTTTGCCATGTTACAAGGACATGTCATAAGTCTGGCTATGAGAGGCCAGTTTTTGCAGAAGCAGAGTGGACCTCATATATGTCATAACCTTTACTTACTCTGTTATTGCTGCCTTAGCATGAAAGTCAGCTAGGGCATTTCCCTGAAACTCGGGTTCAGTCCCTTTAGTGTGAGTCTTAATTTTTTATGACTGAAGGTAAAATAATTACAAATGATAACATTATTTGATCTGGAAGATATGTCAGATCTCCAGGAATTTATCAAGAAGGTTTTAAAACATTTGGTCAAATAGGATCACAGGTCATTGTGAAACAATATTGAATTATTTATTTAACCAAAGTGACAAAGATTTCATAGGCAAGTAGAAAGGTTACATAGTTGCTAGCAAGACTTGTCTCCTTTAATAGGGAAGACTTTGTAATTTTTCATAGTGTTCAAAGACTTGATAAAGATAATGTAGAGCACAGGGTGGAGAGCTGGAAGGAAAAACAGGCCTGTTTCAATGCCCTTCATTCAACTTCCTAGGACTTAGAGTCTTTGTCTTCCAGGCAGATTTCATTAAAGGCAAAGAAACTTTGTTTATTTTTTCTTACTTAGATGAGACCACTCGTTTAAGAAAATTTTGTCCTTTTAGCAGATGAAAGAATAAAGCTCCAATTTTATGTAAGTACATTATCGATATTAAAGCTTATTTTTAAAATCCTTATAACAAATTTACTCATTCTTATCCAGCTTGATCATATATTAAAGTTTCTTTTTTGTTGTTGTTTAAGATTTCTTTTGTACAAGCCTTTTACAGCTTTCTTTTTACATCCTGATTTGTCCTATGTTTTCCCTCTTTAAATAGCCAGCTTCTCTTTAGGACAAAATTGCTTTCTTTTTCCTCAATAAAAATGTCTTTCCATTCCTCATACCTTCTTTTACCAAAAAGTACACATCTAATTTTTCTTGCATACAGAGATGTTTGCATTATTATTTCTAGTAGCTTTAACCACATATATTAATTAGAATCCTTAACTTTTAGAAACCTTAATTTTCAGTAACCACTATTAGTAGGCAGTTGTAAACTGTTATATCAGCACTCTTTAGACTAACAAATTTATGAATACATTTTCATAATTTCTGGAAAAGTGTTTCTTCAGAGTGTGGTCTATCAGTAGAGCATAAAACATGTTTATTAACAGACCCAAATTTATCTTTAGTTTCTCTGTAATAAGGAGACCAAAAACAGATAAACCTATATTCAGTGATTAATGTCTCATTGTTTCATCTTACTTGGAAATGATAATTTAAGGTTTCAGATAATTAAAAATCTCAAGCTATTTTTAGCCACTTATACCATAACACATAATTACCACTAAAAGTTCACCTAAAAAAACATATCTACTTAACTTTCTTATTGTTAATAATCATGTTTAGATTACCTACAAGAAACTTCATAAGGCATTAGTCATTTTTCTTGATAAATTTTGTAACAGATAACATGAACTTACTCTTAGTAAACCTAGGTGGAATAAAGGTATATTTAATGCTGGGAATTCTAAAGATATATCTATTTTATTAAACCAACAAACTTAAGTTAGCCTTTATATTTGTTTTGACAAGTAATGTTATAGAAGCTATGGGCTAGATTTTGGGCAAGGGCACTTATATAGCCATTTGTATTTTTAAAATGCCTCTTTTTCTTCTTCTTTTTCCTTTAGTTTTAGGAATTGAGGATGATGTAGATAAGAGTTCCCAGTAAGGTTTGGGGACTAATAAAGGTAGGTGAGCTTTGACCTGTGTCTAGACTTGTATTTCCCATTTTGCAAAGATCTATAAAATTAGGACAGTTCTCAAACCCTCAAAGACCTAAGTTGTAAATAATGACATAGATTGATCCATTTATTCAACTACATTGTTCTCAATTTGTTTATTTCCCCCAGGGTATATAGTTCTAATTTTAGGAAAGAAGACCTTTAAAAACAAAAATTCCTATCAGGTTCTAAATATCAGCTTCCAATCTGGCCAAGTTATGACAGAGCTATTTAAAAATTTTTTTAATGTTGTATCAGTTTTCAGCCAGACAAACAGTAAATATTTTTGGCAGTATTGAATAACACCCCTTGGCTGTAGGAGGAGTCCCCAGAAGAGGGTACAAAAGCTATTACTTGCCCAGTTTCTAGAGCCATTCCAACAGTAGCTGAAAGAGAGGTCCAACAACTTGTGTGTCCCAGGCAGGCAGAAAGCCATGCCTAGTACCTGCTGGTAAAACAGGGCAAGCAGAACAAGCAGAGGCAGCTATTACTGGGAGAAAAACAGTCAATAACCAATAGGTCTGGTTTTGGAAAGGAAGAGGCAACGTGAAATTTTATTTCCCCTTCTTGACTGCACATTACAGAGATTCAGAAGAGCTGCTTCTAGTCAAAATTTTCACCCTTTGCAAGGCTTCTGCCAGTTTTTCAGAGTCCTTTCTGTAGGCGTCAGTATCTATTAGCCTCCCTTCCCTGCTCAAGTAACATAGTTCTCCCAGCTTATCTACAGTCACCAAAGCCTTCAGCATTTGCCTACCCCCACCCCTTCCACAACCCTCCCGGGCTAGGGAGAAGCTACTGGGTTGGTCTTGATTTGATAAATGCATGCATCCCCAGTTCCATCAACTCTGGGAGGGGCACTTGGGAGTGTCTGCACGGCCATTAACTTGGTGGAGGGTTGTTGGGCCGTGTAGTTTTTAGAGTGGATCACTAGGAATGAGTACTCAAAGGAGGATGGAGGGGAGCAGTCAGTCTAACCATTTTTGTTTTAGGTACATCATATCTTTAATTTCTCATTAGCCTGTTAGAGTGAAACTTTTAATGGAGCTACTCTGAAATTTTGAAGACTTGCTTTTAGGTACTCTGCTTATATGGTTTTACCTAATTGGAATATTCCCCTTAGTGGCCATAGTTATTTTAGGTTATAATTCCCCTGAGGTGTGGCAACAGTTTAGTAGGACCCTAGCTGCAGATGGTAGTTTAACCCACATTTCTGTTCAGCCATAGGGTCTCTAACCTGATGGTTATTAAGCCAAGTTCTCAGGACACAAAACAAGCTTAGTAAAATTTTGCCATTTTTGCTAGTCACAGCTTCTGGAACCATAGTTTTTAGTGCTGGAAGTTGGCACAATTGCCTTCTTAAAATTTAAAGATTATTCCCCCCTTTTGAATACTTCTAAATACCAATCAAGATATGCATCCCTATCAGGTTGTTTAATCTCATAGCTGGCTTTCTCTAATTGCTTATGCAAGAATATAGTTTGGGCACACTGCAAGTGCCCCATCTTGGCCATTTCAGAGAGAGAGCTCCTTTAATTCTTCCTAGTGTCTTGCATCTGAGGCGCTCATTATTATTTGAAATTCTCTTCTCCATCTTTTATTATGGAGGAAACACCACTTGTCAAAGAGGGTGCCAACAACTACTGAGTAAACATGGGGACTGTCAACCAAAAATGGGAGCCCTGAGACCCAGGAAAAGACTCACCCTGCCACAGCTGGGGCTCTGGGGGCCCCTCCTGGCACCAAGGTGCCAAGTCCTCACATTGTTCCAGGTGAGTGTAGGCTGCCTGTTCTGGGTCCCTTCGTAGTTGCCAAGAATTGTTGACTGAAATCAGCACAGCTATGGTATTAAGAAAGGTAAAGTTTTTATAGACTCAAATTTAGGATTATAACCAGGGAGGTTAGCAGTCAGAAAGTTCTGAGTGGTTCTGTAGCTCTTCATCTGGAGACAGCTTATATGCCTTTTACAGCAGGGGATATGTGCAGGAAAGAGGTGACACTAAGCAGTACATCAAGCAGTGTGTCAAGGATACCTTTAGGTAGTGTCTTAAAAGAACAGACCATGCACATGTGGGTGCCCTGTATGCGTGAGAGGCGGCAAGGGTTAGGATTGTTACTTCCTCTCCTAAAGGATTCTAGCAAAGACATGAGAACCAGACTCCCATTCAGTTTTGTCCTCTTTGAACATTCAGAGCTATTTCCCTTCTCCGGTTTGTGTCAGGGGCTGTGACAGTCTCGCTGACACAGGTGAGAATGGCTGTATGCCATCTTCACAGCCCAGCATGAGTTGTCATGGCTACCTCAGGGCCTCTACAGCTTGCATAGCTCTCTATGCCTGTGTGACCTCCAGGGGGACCATAAAGACTGCATTTTATTTCACAGTTTATATCTTGAGAAGTTTCATTCATTTTTCCCTAATTCATATTTACCTGACCCGTTAATTATCCTGATTGCAAAGAGGGTTGTCATATCAACCATCTGATGAATTAAATATAGAAGGAACAAATGGATTAGCAACAGGTTCTGCTACTTCAAACTAAGGTGATGTAACTTTTGACTACTGCTTTGAAAGTCTTTGCTTTTCCTTACCTGACTCCCACACCTCCTACCAAATGCATTAGCTTCATTATTTTGCTGTGTCCATTTATGGACTGGCTTGTCACAGTAGATGGCTTCTCAGCTGCAGAGACCCTTCTTATTCATATTTGTATCCCCAATACCCTGAATGTAATTGGTGCACAGTAAATGTTTGTGCGTGAAAGAAGTTGAATACTTAGAATTTTAAGGTGTTAGGGTGTTGAGGTGCTTAAGGTGCTAGAGTCTGTGTGGGAGAGGTTATATGTAGAAATATGAAAAACAAAAACAAATACATGATGATATAGTATAAACTGTCATATACGTAACTTTCCAGAGTTCAGAGTAGAGTGACTCACATGATCATTTTCATAGATTGTTCTAACCACATCTTGGTCCTGGATAAAGCTAATTGTAGAATGCCTTTCCTCAATATGTACCTTTTAGTAACTTCATCATAGCTCTAAACAGTTTCTTTTATAATTACCTCTTTGCCTGTATGTAAGCTTATACATGTTTTACCATACTTATTACGTTCTGTTACTGTCAGGACTTTGCCATCTTTTTTTTTTTTTCAGATTTCCTATTATCTTGTGCTCAGGTTATGTTTTTTCAGTAATGAAAGGACCAATGTGAACTCAGAAATGAGTTGTTAGGGTAGTTATTTTAAAAACCAAATTCTTGCAAGCATAAGAATTTTTGGCATCAGAGGTTCCAGACCCAGCATTTATTTCCTGTTGAATCTTGGGCTGTAAAATATCCCTTCTAATGTAATTGCAAAGTGGCGCAAAGAGAGCACACTGAAGGAGCTAGATGTGTTTATATTAAAATGTAAATGTGGAGCTTAGTTATTAAAACTATAAAAGAGTGTGGATTCCTCAGACTTAGCTAGGGGTTACATTTATCTTGCTAAAGTGTATCAGTCCTTGAATGAGGATATGTTAAAGGATGTGCAGTTCCCTGACATTTGTTGAAAGTACACTTGCTTGGAAGTAGTATACTGTATTTTTGTCTTCCCTTTGTCCCATCTGTATGATTTCAGGCCAGTCACTGAACCACTCTGGATATAACTTCTAAAATTCTTTGATTTCTTGCTTGCTTCTCTATTCACATCTGTTTTAGGAATGCAAATGAAATTAACATGGGATTTTTGTTTCAGGCTCCAGGCTTTTAAATTTGCGTTCTATTACAACAAAAAGGCTAGTGATGACAATTATGAAATGGCCTGAAAGAGTGAAATGTGAAAAAGCCACCACTATCTTATTGATGGGATTTTTTTCCCCTTAATCTGGGACCCAGGGAATTCTGCTTTATTAAAAAAGAAGGAAAAGAATACCTGGAGACTTTCTGGATGGAAGCCTTTTGTTAAGCTGAGCATCTAGAAACATGTTTGAAGCCTAAATATAAGGCTTGAATTCTTTGGGAATCCTCCCTAGCAAGGCTGGGTGATCAGATGATTATTCTGCTTAGTCTATAGTTACACCAAGAAAAGTTCAAGCCTGCCTTCCTTGTGTGTGTACTTCGTTACTGTGACTGTAAAGAATACCTATTGTTATCCAGTCTCCTTAGTAGATTGAAGCCTTGATATTGTTAGGTAGATGAAATGCTTAATCTTTAAAAAAATATGGTGACAAGATTGTGAGTATATATGAGTGACTATTACCATTGCTAGTTCCCTGCTCTTGGAAATCAGCCAAGAAGCATGTGTGCCAAGCGAATATTTATTAATCTAGTTGCAAGCAGTTAGGTCTTTAACTTCCTTTTCCTGGGAAAATTAGATACATCAGAAGAGAAAGCAGTTTCATGTAGGAAAGGGGCTTTGGTTTGTAGCAGTTTCGTTAGTGAAGGAGGAGAAAGTACTTAGTATAAATGGGAAATATTCCTCAATTGTTCTCAGAATATAAGAAGCTTTATATTTGGCCACTGAGTAAAATGTGTGGAAGAGAAGACTTAATAGGACCACCACTTGTTTATAAGGTGGGTCTTACAGGATCAATCACTTGTTTATAAAATGGTTTAGCTGAGGTAATAGAGCAATGAATTGAGAAGAATTTCTAGGTTGTCATTTCAGTGCAGTCACTAACTTTATGACCATATGCAAATTTATCTCCAAAGGGTTGGCTTTTCCAGCTTACTTCTTGCTGTAATATTCTGTGATTCTATGGTAGTCTGTTAATTGCTGGTTAGTATAGCACAGGTTACAGAAATGTTTGGAACTGCCTCAGGCTAGTTCTAGCTCCCATTTTCTTCCCATCAAGTCAGCTCTCCTTACCTCCTTAACTTTTTCTCCACTAAGAACACATGTCACTTCTGAGTGACTTCCTGTTCTATAATTATATGAAGGAGATGTGTCAGTATGTAACATTTCTATTTTCTGTCTTCTCTTATAGGACTTTGTATCTTTGCTAAAGTCAGTGATGTGAAAAGACCTGACATGGGTAAGACTGACTATGAGGTAGTTGTTCAGTCTTTTTAGTTACTCAGACTAGTTAAGCTGGAGTGAACGAGTGGGTTTTCTAACATTTACAGTATTTGTATCTTTGTGCTTAATAATAATTTTAATGGAGATCTGACACTAATTATGTGATTGTATATACCAAACAAAAAATTTTCTTTTGGTTGGGACACTGTTTATAGCATCTTTTGGAAGGATCTTCTCATTCACTGTATTGAAAAAGCCAGATGCACACAAGCAGACATTTACTTTGTGCCAGGCCCTATTCTAAGTACTTCAAATATATTAATTCATTTAATCTTTTAGAACGGCCTTGCAAGGGCACTTAGTACAGGGTAGATACTATTATTGTCCCCATTATATCAGCAAGGAACCTGAGACACAGAGGTCAAGAAACTTGCCTAGGATCGTACAGCTGTAACTGGCAGGGCCAGGATTTAAACTCGGGCAGCCCGCTTCCAGAGTCTTTTTCTTTAGTGCTATGTTATACCACCTTCTGTACGATGACTAATTTGATTAAGGTAAGTTTTAAATTTCATTTAGCTAGTGACATTGATAAGTAATTATGATGAACATTTTCTACTATTTGTAGTTCTTTGCATCTATAAAAGGGATCAATATAAGGTCAGAACTAGTAGCCAATTTAGGAATAGGTCGAAAAATCTAAAGAGTTATATCTTAAAACATTCCATGTACTCTTAAGTCCACATTGGTCTTCTCTCTGCTGCTCTTTCTTTTCCTTAGTCTTGCCCTTCTCTCTCCTGGACGTTTGTTTCCTTTTCCTCTCATTGCTCACACCAGTGTAAATCACTGAGTTCCCTTACCTCATTTGTTTCTAGCCTAGCTCTTACAGTAACAAAATCTCAAAAGTAGTTATAAAGTAAGGTTCTGCTACAGTATACAATAGTTGAGTTGACAATCTGTTCAGAGCCTTATACTTATTACAGAAAAAAATTTTCAGGTGGATTAATCACCTTTCAGAGCTAAAACAGAGGTAATAAAACAGGTATATTGACAGTGTTTATTTTTGAATGTTAAAATTTTTCCCTATTTATATTTAAAAAATTTTTTATGGTTAACGTATTAAAAAATTTCTTTGGAAAAATTCGTTATTTTAAAACTCTGAATTAAGCTCTCTTTATACAAGGTTTGAGCTATTTGGTAGATGTCAGTCAATTCCAAATGAGCCAGTTTCTGCACATGAGCCTTTTTTTGGACAAAGATATTTTCAGGTTTCTTGCCAATGGTTAGAGGAGGTTTTATTTGACTATAGAGTTGTTCTTTGGGAATCAGTTTTATTAGGTGAAAAGATTGGTTCATAGGAAAATAGTTACTGAAGAATTATGTGACTTAAACTAATCTGGACTTTTTCTCCAGATGATATTGCTGATAGGATGAGGATGGATGCTGGAGAACTAACATTCGTGAACCACAATTCCATTTTCAAAACCCATCTCCTGTCACAGACAGGTTTTCCAGAGGACCAGCTTTCATTTTCTGACCATCAGGTTAGGAATAATTTTTTCCTCTTAATTAATTAATTAATTAGGCTTAAGTTTTCATCTGATGTAATTTAAATGCCACATTAGTATATATACTTTATAAGATCAGTAGTTCTAGCATTTTGAATTATGTTTGATGTAAAATAAGAATCAAACTATTTATGAGTTCTTTGAGAACAGTACCTTAGAGAACTGTTATTCCTCTGAATAATACAATTATTGAAACACAGATCAGTGTTCTTTTAAAACAGTGTTTTTAAATTGCTATCATAAATGGGGAAAAATGTATAAATACACAGCAGCTCTGAGATTTCTCTGTGGCAAAAGCTTAGTTTCTCAAAGAACCATCAGCACCAGCAGCATCTGGGACCTTGTTAGAAATGCAGAACATCAGGCCTCACCCCGCCTACTGAATCAGAATCTACATTTAATCTCCAGCTCATTTGTATGCCCATTAAGGTTTGAGGAGAATTATTAATAAAGCAGTCTTTCTCAGTAGGAAAGCCATTAATAATCTGGATGAGACAGTTCTTTGATGTCTGAATCTGTCCTGAGCATAGCAGAGCATCTTTGGCTCCTGGGCACTAAATACCTGTAGCATCTGCCCCAGTAATTATTTTGATAACTGAATATATGTAATTACATTTCCACATTTGTACTGGGGTATAGCACCATCCTTGATTAAGAACATCTCTGTAAAGTTATCAAAAGAATCAAAACTAGGTTGATCTTGATATATGACGTTGGCTTTCAGATACACTAAATGTGTATTTACCTTCTAATGAGCCATGCTTTAAGTTATCTAACAGATATTTTGCCCATTTCTCCCCTTGAAGCCTCATTTTTTCAGATTGTTTATGTGTTTTCTTATTAGTATGTAGTTTAATTTGTTTGTGATATATATGTAATTGAGTTCTGAAATATGTCATAATCTTAATAGAATTTTTCCTAATAGAAATTTATATTTCATTTTATTGTCAAAAATATTATTTAAAAAAAATATTCTGCTCTGTTTTAGATTTTACCTTCAAGGCAAGAAAATTTGGATCGATCTTTTACATGTTCTATGAGAAGTGCATCTTATAACCCAAATTATTATTCAGGTATGCCATATTATTTGGAGTCAAGGCATTTATACCTTTCAGATTTCTTCCTTGCAAATCATTTGTGTTTACCATCTTTGAAAGCAAAAACGTCAAGAGCAAAAAATATTTTCTCCACGAAAACATTGTTTTAACAAGCAGTGTGTATGTATGTGTGTTGGGGGGGTGTCATTACAATATTTCACTGATATAGTCTCAACCAAGTATTTTTTTTTTTTTTTTGAGAGAGCGTCTCTCATATTTATTGATCAAATGGTTGTTAACAACAGTAAAATTCAGTATAGGGGGGTCAGTGCTCAATGTACAATCATTAATCCATCTCAAGCCTAATTCTCGTCAGTCTCCAATCTTCTGAAGCATAACGAACAAGTTCTTACATGGTGAACGAATTCTTACATAGTGAATAAATTCTTACATGGTGAACAGTACAAGGGCATTCATCACAGAAACTTTCGGTTTTGATCACGCATTATGACCTATAAACAATCAGGTCAAATATGAATATTCATTTGATTTTTGTACTTGATTTATATGTTGATCCCACATTTCTCCCTCTATTATTATTATTATTTTTATTTTTAATAAAATGCTGAAGTGGTAGGTAGATGCAAGATAAAGGTAGAAAACATAGTTTAGTGCTGTAAGAGGGCAAATGTAGATGATCAGATGATCAGGTGTGTGCCTATGGACTAAGTATTAATCCAGGCTAGACAAGGGCAGCAAGACATCCACAGATGCAGAAGATTTCTCTCAAAGCAGGGGGGGTGAGGTTCTGAGCCTCACCTCTGTTGATCCCCAAATTCTCACCTGATGGCCCCCCTGTGACTGTGCCTGTCTTATCAACCAAGTATTTTTTAATGGAAAATTTTGTTTGGAATCCATTCTCCTACTTGCTCATTATGCCACTGCAAAAAGCAATCAGCTTTGTTTTTCATTTTTTTTTTAAAGATATGTATGTGATGGATATTTATTTTCTACTGATTTAATATACAAAGCTAGCCTATTTCTCATCTCCTTGAAATCATGAATCCTGAAAACATTTCTACCAAGCTTGTCCCTCATCAGGGCAGGAAATGTTAAGTACATGTTCCTATCTAGCACCTGCCACAGCCATGCTTGCATATTCAAGGGCTTGCCTATACAACTTGTGATCCATGACAGAAGTCAGCATTCTTGAGGCTTTTCCTAACCCCTGGCCTACCTGATTACATCTGCCGCCTTCCTAAAATTAGGACCTGCAGTGACCTTCTGGCTCTGTCTTGGGGAATCAAGAGTTTTTATTGGTGAGCCTCCTGACAGATCCCCCAGAAAGATTACAGTGGTCTTTCCATGTCTTCACTCCTTGTATTTCAGTCCCGTACCTAATCACAACTATGGGAATATTAGTAATACTATGGAGCCCGCCCCAGTGGCATTTTTATGAGGATTAATTAGATAATAAATATGAGATGCAAATAATAATTATTGTTGTTATTTGGCTTCCTCAGGATCCTTTGTCAGCAAGATGAGATCTCTTCCCCTAAAAAGACGTTAGTATGATGCTCTTTTAGATTTATATTATATTTAAATGTCATTTAGGTGGGTGGTACTTTTCCCTGGGCAATGGATTTTCTCTCCTAGGGTGGGAAATGGTCTCCACATAGTATGTGCATAATTTGTACAGAAAAATCAGTTAATTTGCTCAGAAAGTAACTGCCATCATTATTATTGGAAAGGCCTTTCTCATGAGCAGAAAGCCTGAAACCTGGTTTGATAGCTCATTATTAATCCTAGGGGAAGGACAGTTGAGTAGATAATGAAATAAATTATTAATATTTCCATTTGAATCAAGCTGTGTTTGCTTGTCATTGCATATGCTGATTTACCATTGGATGGATTATTTGCTTTTAGTTTAAAATAATTGTTTAGTAATAAACAATTGTATTTAGAAAATTATACTCAAAATCTCCTTACCATAACTTAACTCCTCCCTAACTCTGTGGCCTTTTCTGATTTTTATCTGTGTGTATACATTGTACACATTGTATGATTTGACACATATAAGCTTATTTTAGCCTATATTTTTATTTCTACTTTTCTATCTGTTTATGTGTTATTCTTCATATTTACCTTTTTCTCTTGATTTCTAATAATCCATTGAATTGATATGCATATTCACAGTCCTTTATGTGCAATTCCAAAACCCAAAAAGCTCTGGAAACCAGAAATTTTTTCATAATTTATTTGGCATCAAAACTTGACCTGAAGTCATTCCTTGGCAAACCTACATGACCAGACATGAAGCTATTTATATTCTGTCTCTTGTTTATATCTGTAAATATGAATACTTACACATTTAGCTGCAAACATGTCATTATATTTGATTATAAGATACATATACTTGGAAGAATTACAAAGTATATGCCAGGTTATCTTCCTAAAATTCCAAATATTAATGAATTCAGAAATACACCTGGACTTGTGGGGCTGTGATTCAGGATGATGAGTCTGTGCCTTCATTCGTTTCATCATTTTCCCTGTGGTTTAGGCCTTCACATTTTCAGCTGTTATAAATAAATGACTTAAAAGCATTTGTCTACATAGTTTTTTTCCTTTATATTTCCTTTAAAGTAGGTCCTTGATATTCACAAAGGATATATTTGAGAGCATCTCAAATCCTCATATTCTTGACTGTGGTGATATTGATCATATTCCTGGTTTTCTACTTGGTTACGTGATTCTTGAGACTTATATTTTTCCTGTTTGTCCTCATACCACAGATTGGTCCCCATATCAGAGTCTTACACTAAAGTTTTCTCTCTCACTTAAAGTCTGTTTTTTTAGAGAAAGAAAAGAAATAACTTTATAACATTTACTGTTTACATGATAATGAATAGAAAATAATAACAGTGAACAATAAAGCCATATCAAAATGGAGATGCTGAGCTATTACATTCATTCTCTAAATACATTCTAAATCTCTGAAGCACAGGATTCAGATTTGTGCCACTACCTCATTTCATCTAATCTGACCAAACAAATTTAGGGCATATCACAGACCTTCAAGGCTGTTTCCTAACCATCAGAATTTTAAATCTGTGAATGCCAATGGTCTGTATACTGTTTTCTTATACTAAAGCCTGTAATCCTAATCTCCTTTTCACTGTGTGCTTTTGTGACTGTGTCCCTTTTCCACACCAGTTCCAATTCATGGTGAGTCCTGCAGAATTCTGTTTTTGTTGTCTCCTTTTGGTCTATTCTTTTCTGATAATCCTCACATTGATATCTGTGGTCAGTCCCCTTGAGCTTTATTGCTTGATTGGTTTAAACATGGGTCCCCAGGTTCTCTGAAGTAGCCTTCTCATTCTGACCCTGTTGCTACTGTGGTCAGTCCCCTTGAGCTTTATTGCTTGATTGGTTTAAACATGGGTCCCCAGGTTCTCTGAAGTAGCCTTCTCATTCTGACCCTGTTGCTGTCCTGCCTCCACAAAGATGAAAACGCAGGAAAGCACCAAACTTTAGAATCAAGGGTCTTGACCTTCCCTTCCCTTTACTGCTGTTCTGGGCCTACCTCTCTATATCAAGCTTTTAGAAAATCCACTTCTTAATCCATTTGAGATTATACTACTAAAAACAATTTTTTTTTAATGCTTAGAAAGCAGAGAAAATGTAATACTTTGACTTTACAGTGCTGGTCAATCTTTAAGATCTCTTTATTTTTATTAAGAGCATAGTTGATAAGAAAATCAAACATTTCAACCCTCAACAAAGAAAAGTAGAGTAAGATGAAAAGACATGATTTTGCTCATGCTTAGAATCATCAGTATCTTTTCTTTGGCAAATATGTTAGATTGCCAAACTGACATTAATAGGTAAGATGATCTAAAGCATTCTGCCATTTATAGTAACTAAGTAAACCTGAAAGTTACTATGAGCAACTGGTAGGTACTGTCATAAGATTGCCTGAGACACTTTTTAAAAATATGAAAGTTTATTTAGTTATGTCCTTGAAAGTATTGCTTGTCCTTGTAGAAAATTTATAGAGGAAAGTAGAAAAATGCCCATCATTGTATCACTGGTAAACAACCAAAACTAAATTTTTGGTATATTTCCCTATAGTTTTGTGTGTGTATACATACACATAATAGGTAATCTTATTAACGGCATTTGCAGTCTGCTCTCTTAATGACGACAATACCGGGTTAAATGTCACTAATAAAAGAGTGTTTGCAGCTCCGTGTTGGTCCCTCTCTAGCTTTGCTTGATCCATATCAACCCATGAGGACTATTCAGTGATTTCATTGAGTGGGGGGATGGAACCACCTTTTTCTGGCTAAACAGACTGCTGGGTTCTGTGCTTTTCCCTTGCATTTTAAACCTGAGGCTTCTGTCAGATGCCATTCAGGGGTCTACTTTGGCTTATTCTTGGTCTAACGTTTCACACCTGACAGGGTAATTTGCATTTTTTGGTAGACTTCCTCCTCAAGTAGACATCACTAGTTAGACCATTGCCTAATCAAATTTTAGCAAAAAAGTATGAGAGTTAGATTTCTACTGTTAGTACTTTGCATTTAAAGATAATAGTTTTCTGGTCTTTTAATGAGACTTTTTTTTCATCAGCCTCATGTCTCTGTCCTTAATAGGTGCTAAGTATAGATACTGATTACAAAGGGGAAAAGTTACTCATTTTGAAAGTAAATTTGTTAGGTTTATCCACTGGTGAATATAAACTGGTACTAGTACCACTTCTTGACTGCTTTTTTTCTATCTTATTTACCCTAAATTTTGATAATCCTGATCAAGATAAAAAGAAAAAAAGCTACACAATACAAAACTTAACATTTTTGTCAGCTGCCTTATGTTTTGGGTAGAGTATCAAAAGCTACATTAAATATTTTAAATAAACATAATATTGTTCAAAGTTTTATAGTAATGTGCTTTGAAAGAAGATTTTCAAAATGATGTTGGCAATAGACAAAAACTCAGGAAGTAGAGAATTATCATTCTCTTTTTTCCACTGGTGCTCCTCAGAGTTCCAGAGCCTAACATCTGAAGTTACTTTGAAGGCACTGTTTTAAATTGTCTAGTCATGCTGACAGGGAGAGAAGGGTTTAGAAGTTGTTCTACTCCCAGCTGAAACCTCAAGAGGTTTTATTACCCCAGCTTGTAAGCCTCGAGTCAGAAAAGTCAAATCATCAATAAATACTCCTCAGTCTGATTGCAGTAGCAAAAACTGATATGCCTGGTGATTATGGCCATTAAGTGACTGAAGTTATCATACCAGAACCAGATGTATATAATAGGTCATTCCTGCCATAAGCCAGCCAGAATAAGCAGCAATTAGGTTATTTCTGCTCTTAGAGCCCTTGAGTTGTGAAAATAATAATTAAAAACAGGAAGGTGACACCAGCTGCTTATTAAGCAATAACTGTTGTTCATTTGAATTACAATTCTCCTTGGCCCTCCACCTGCTTTCTTACTGGTCTGGCCTACCTTCTTTCAGGCCCAGGCCTGGGAGTGCTTGCAAGATATAGTTGGGGTAAAATGTTGACTTTTGGTGGACACCACGGAGTCACATTGATGCAGATAAGGCACATGGCTGTGGCAGGATTCAGCTCCTTCATCAATTTTCAGGTTAGTATGGCTGAGTCGATTATAGTTTGTAGAAGTTCCCTTACTGCAGACTGTACTGGCAGTTGAGACTGGGATCTTTCTTCCATGAGAGACATGGTGATATGCCACGTTACTTCAGAATACAATGTTGGACATGGTTGAAGTCATATGGAGAAACACTGTAGGTATTGTTTGATTTAGTCAAACTTTTATTCTTTTAGACAAACCTTCCTCAGACAGTTTTGGCTTGGGAGACTTAAGAACATTTGGCCAGAGTGCAAATGGCCAGTGGAGAAATTCCACTCCAGCATCAGGTTCAACTTTACAAAAATCAAGAAACAGTCGAAGTCTTTACCTCGAAATCCGAAAGACCTCAAGGTAGGTATTCTGGCTGCTTAGTTCACAAGCCCTTCCTCTGATATAAGAGAAGTTGGCTATGAAACAGTTGTTACACTGACATTTTAAAAGAGTAACACCATTTTTGAACTTTAACCCATAGAGATGAACAGATCCATTTTAAACTTTCAACTTCTACTTGGTGGTGAATTTGCTGAAAGCCTAATCTTATTATTGGGGTTTTGAGGGAAGTCTTGGTGGGTATGAATATATTGGAGCCCTTTGGTATTAGTATGACTATTGTGAATCTGAAAGTGAAAATCAGTCCATCTCTGCAACTTCAGTAGTGAAGAAACGGGATGTGCCATGAGCAGAAGCCCGACCACCAGAGCAGCCCTGCCCCTCGTGGCCTTATCAGCCCAACCTAAGCTGCTTGGCTAGAGCACAAGGCATGCAGAGCTTTACCCCTCTTAGCCCTATTTCCTCACTGAGCTTGTACTGATTATTAAAGGCAAATGAAGTTTGGTTTAGAAACTTTTCCCTCTGGCACTTATTGCATTAGTAATGTATTTGTTTAAATATATTTATGACTTCTTAAATTTTGCTCTGGTGATGGGTTTAGTGAATGTTGGATCATTTAATTTCCTCCTTAGTCAAGGCTAAGCTTTCCAATGTGTCTGAATGCATCAGATGGTCTTATTTTATGGTGATCAGGACATGGACTCTGCAAACATGTGTACTTCTGGGGATTATTTCTGCACTTCTTAGTGTTTTTTAAAACTATGCAAGAATCATTAGCATATTCACATTGCAAAAATTAAAACATTGCCAATGAAGCTAAAGAACCCTTGACCACTATCCACAGTCTTACTCCCCTCCCTCAGTGTGTTTCCTTCCAGATCTTTTCCCGAGGTGTTCTCTCTTGCACTCTCTTACTCCTGTACAGCATAATAGATCTGCTAGGTATACTGTGGAATGTATACTGTTACTCCATCTTCATAAAGAGATTCCATGTGCATCATTTGACAAGTTGCTGTTTTTGTTCAATAATGCCATATTGTTATTCTTTTAAATAACATTATTACAGAAACTATACATGTGCTTTGTAAAAAATTAGAAAATATAGATAAGCAGGAAAAAAACAGCACATTCTAGGCAGTCAGAGATAACCTCTGTAATATAAATCTCTGTATATGTATATATCCCCTTCCAGGTTATTTTTCTCTACATTTACACACATTTTCTTTTCCAAAAATGAGTTCACACTGTGCATACTCTTTTTAGTCTGCTTTTTCAGTCATTTCCTCTTTTCCTTTAAGTAAATTTTATCTTGTACACTAAGTTATAATTAAATTTTCCTAGTTTTTCCAAAACTATCCTTTGCAGCGAGTTTGTTCAAACCAATATCCAGTATAGGCTTGTATCTGGTAGTTATCACTCTCGTCTCTTACAATCTAGAACAGCTCCTTTTTTTAATGACATGACTTTTTTCTGCATAATGTTCCATTTGTTGGATTTGACAGGTTTCTTCCACATAGTATCATTCTTTTGTCTTCTCTCTGTTTTCTTGTAAACTGTGTTTTTGATGTGAGTAAATGTTGATGCTGTGTTCATCCCATACGTAACCTCCAACATCTAGTTCTCCTATCGTTAGTGATACCAGATTGATGATTGGATTAGGGATTAACAATCTGGTCCTTAATTGTACAGTTCGGTATTTTTCCTCTCGTGACTAGAATGTAATGTAAATGATGTTACTCTGGCATTATATGAATGATGATTTTCACATCAGCCTAATGATTATTAATATCAATTGATAATCCTTTCCTGGTGTTTTTTAAATTAAGGCATAATTAACAGATAACATTATATTAGTTTCAGGTATGCAACATAATGATTCACTATTTGTATGTATTGGGAAATGATCACTACAATTGTAGTTACCATCCATCACCATAGAGTTACAAAGAAGTTTTTTTATTGTAATGAGAACTTTTAAGGTCTATTCTTTTAGCAACTTTCAAATATACGAACAGTATTAACTATAGTCACCATTAACTATAATCATATTATATCCCTATGACTTACTTATTTTATAACTGGAAATTTGTGCTTTTTGGCACCCTTTTACCTGATAACGATTTTCATAGAGTTAATTAAATAATATTTTTTAGTTTAATAATTTCTTCTGCACTTACTATTGGCACTCTGCTATAAAGGAGTGTCTTATTCCTTCATTAGTCATGGCTGTTCGGTTATTCTGATATATTTCCTACTAGGAAGGCAGGATATATGATTAGATCTTTTTTTTCATTTTTCATTTTTCAAAGTTAGTTTTGTTTCTTCTTAATAGCCACTTCATGTGGTTCAAAATAATTTTTCTATTCTTTTTTTGGTGTCATTATTATAGATGCAATGTGTTTCAATCCACTGCAAAATCATTATTCTTTGAATGCTCACATCCTTACAACTTTGGCCAGTGGAAGCTCCTTCCAGCTTACTTCTGTATCTAGCCAATCTTGTTAATTGTTGGTAACGCCCTTGTTTTCTGGCATTACAATATGCCCTCATACTGTTTCTTTAGGAGAAAGAGTCTTAAAGAACACATACACATACACACACACACACACACATACACACACAATCTAGGAAGCATAAATACAAAAGATATTTTGGGGAATTCAGTGTATCTTTACCAAATTATACTGCCCCTGTCATCTTTGTCTAGCTGTATCCATCCGTCTTAAGAAAATAAGCTTGTTCCTGAGGTTCTTAGTTCTTCCTCTTCCCCCACTCTTACACACGTAAGACCATTAGTGTTTGAGAGTTAAAGAGGGAATGTATGTGCTTTGTGATTTTCTTAAGACCTAGTCTGATATCATTTGGATCCAGACCACATCTACTGATTTAAAAGGTTGATCATTAAAGTTCAGTTTAGTCAGCTCTGTATCTCTATTCTGCATCCTCAGCAAAAAAAGAAAGAAAGAAAATTCATTATGCTGAGAGCAGATACCTCAAACCTGCAGGTAATAACAAATGAAAATGGTCACATGGAAAAACTTTAAATTATTAACCTAACCCCAGAGATAAGACTAGGTTTTGAGTTCACAAACCTGCCAGATCCCAGTATTTGGGGCACAAATAGTATAAAGAAACAAAACAAATCTCTCCTTCAGAGAAAAATAATGAGGCCAGGAGAAGTCTTCTCAGAGCATGATGCAGCTTACTTAAAAAGGCTTCTGCTTGTTTTTAATGAAGGATGGGAGCCCTCTGTTGGTTTTTTAGGATATTTTCAAATTCAGTTTAAAAGCTTAGTTGAGAGGCTTCAGCTTTATCCATCTTTGCATATTTAACCTTAAAATAATTCCCTCCAAGGATTTAACGGAGGGGGCTGTAGGGAGTAAATAGGAACCCAGGTTTTCTGAAGGAGTCTCATTTGACATGCTTTCTGTCATATCACTCAGGTCTGTGGTTCCTTCCCAAAGGAACATTGCAGATTGTAAAGCTGAGAAATGCGATTTTAGGTGTTTGATAGTTATATAATTTGGTAATGTAAGACTTCTTAGGTGGCAGAAACTGCTGCAGCAACCTGTGTATAGTTTCTTGGGTTTCCTCAAATGGTGTATCTATTTCTCTACCTGTTAATTTTTTGTTTTTGTTATTTCTTGAAAGTAAAAATAATTACTAGGATAGATTTCTTACTGTTCTTATCTTTTCTTACACACACACTCTTTTTTTTAGTGGATTATCAAACACTTTTACAGGGAAGTCAAACCATCACTGCCATGTGTCTGCATATGAAAAATCTTTTCCTGTTAAGCCTGTTCCAAGTCCATCTTGGAGTGGTTCATGCCGTCGAAATCTTTTGAGCCCCAAGAAAACTCAGCGGCGACATGTTAGTACAGCAGAAGAGGTAAGGAAAACCTTTAACAGAAGCTATTCAAGGTTGGAACCTTTCTCATATTAAGCCATTTATTCCCTCTAATTTCAGTGTTTATTAACTATTCCATTTACTTACCTTTTCTGTGTTTTTCCTTTAATTACTCTTTTTGAGTGCTATCGTCTATTCTAAAGAAATTAAAGAGATATTTTACCAGGACTTAGTTATTTTTCTTAACCATCTTCTATTTCTCTTGGACAGCAGACTTAATCTTCAGTATCATCTGAATGGTTTCTCATATATCAAATTATCTCTCTTTTCTCTTTTTTTGGATTCTTCCTAAACCCTTGTTTCAGGAAACAAAACTGTTAACCTTGCTGAATTCGATAAAATACCTGCCCTTCTATTAGGATGATTTTTCTTCAGTGTAAAAGAAAAATCAAGAAGCCAGCCAAATAATTTACATCCTTTCTCATTACAAGTAAGATCTTTGAGATTATAGACTGTCCCCAAAACAAAGATACTCTGTTGACACTGTTATATTCATTTAGTAAACCTAAAGGAAAAAAAAATCAAATCTGTAAATATAATATAGCATATAATTGATACAGTAGGAAACGTGCCTATACCTGTTCAATTAAATATCTGTTATGATCCAGTCACTTTTGGACTGGGGTTGCTGTGGAGACTCAATTGAATAATGACATTGCATTTACATAGCATTAGAGTTTCCAGTGTGCTTTCCACATGTAATTAATATTAATTTATACGAGGTAATTGTCTTTTTCTAACCATTGTAATTTTTGTGCTCTCACCAAAGTGCCTGCCAAGTACTGTAGACAGTTGCGTCACAAACACTGGAAAAAAAGGACCACCATCATCTGAATACAACAGTAATATGTAGAGGATAAAAGAATGGGGTTTATTTTCTTCATATAGAACACTGCAAATTTGTTTTTTTGGGGGGTTTCTCTTTCCAACAAATGCTCAACTAGTTTTACCTTTTCTTATGGCTCAACTATTCAAATTTAAGGATAGCTCTTTCTCATAAGGAGTTGTCATGCCTCACAGTTTAAGATGCATCTTGTTAGATCAGTAACTTCATACTGACTGTAACTGAAATTCAAGCTGTAGTAAACCATGGTAAAGAAGAGAAAACTTAGTGTCTATTTATTTTGCATAGATAATTGCTTAATTCATTCTGCTTTTAACAAACATTTGTAATTGAATAAAATGCTAATGGATATTGAAATGTCACAGTGCCAGATGCTGTTAGCCATGGCACAGAGTGTTAAGATTATTTTGTGAAGATTGGTGGTTGTATTAAACTGTATGTTAAGATTTTTCAAAAGGATTGGGGCATGTTATGTAGTGAGTGCCGCCCGTTGCTTCTGGGCTTCTGTGTAGCGCAGATGCATTACCACAGTTACCTGAACTCCTATAATCCATTCCCGGAGTGGCCTGAGCACATGAAATCAAGCACAGTCCTGTCTCAGAACCTTTGCATTTGCTGTTCTCTACTTGAAATGCTCTTTCATAAATGTCTTTGATGTATTTCCTCCCTTGATTTAGGTTTTTGTTGAAATATCACCTTCTTACAGAGGTCTTCCCTGTTCCTGCTATTCCCTTATCTTTAATTTTCTTCATAACTACCTGACTAGTTGCCAGTCGCTTTTAACTACAGTGAAGTTTCACAAGGAAAGGAACTTGATTTTATTCAGTGCAGTATCTCGAAGGACTGGAGTAGGATAGGTGTTTTAAGTCAGTAAAGGAATGAGTGAGTGCATGTTATGGAATATGTGCTTTTCTCTAAATTCAGTATTGAAATGTAAGAAAAAAAGTAAATAAATGTTAGAGATGAAAGCCATCTCTGGAAAATACTTACACTCTTAAAAATTGGCTAGAGTAGATGACTGTCAGCAAGCTATCCTACCCTGATCTTGACTATTCTAGTTACTCTCTTGAGGCTTTCTAATAGGTATCAGGAATCACAGGGTTTGTTGGAATCCTAATTAAGAGGTCCTCAGATGTTTTATTTCTGGGACTCTCTTAGTTGACTCAAAAGTGATCACCAACTGGCCTTCTGGTTTCATATCTAGAATCTGGCTTCTTTGCATTATTATTTACATATATTCCTCATAATTTTCCAAAATATACTATCTGATATATACTATCACTCAACTCCTTTTATATGTACTTTATAATTTTCTAAAATATCCCTAATGAATCATAATTTTTAATTATCTTGAGGAGTCTGCCTGAGCTTTGGCAGAGCTTCTGGGAGTCTAGATGCTACTTTGAGAAACACTTGGCTCACTGGATGTGTTTAAGATTTTTTTTTCTTTTGTAGACGGTCCAAGAAGAAGAAAGAGAGATTTATAGACAACTGCTACAGATGGTCACAGGGAAGCAGTTTTCTGTAGCCAAACCCACTACACATTTTCCTTTACATCTGTAAGTCACAGGAACATATTTCAAATGAATTTAATTCTACATTTTGTCATTTGATATTGAAACTGTAACCTCCTCTTGCTAGGTCTCGATGTCTTAGTTCCAATAAGAATCCTTTGGAAGACCCACTGTTTAAAAATGGCACCTCTTGTGCAGCTCCAATTGTTGGGTCTGATACTTCGTCATCTGGATCTGCCAGCATCTTGACTACCCAGGACCAGCTGTCCCACAGTGTGTGCTCCTTGTCTTCTTATGCTCCAGATGTCGTGGCCTTTGGACCCAGAGATTCTGATCCCCTCCACCAAGCTCAGCATCATCAAACACTTCCACATCAGCCAGATAACTTATCAGTTTCAAATACGCACTCTGAAGGTAAAAATGGTGTGGCGTAGCTCTGTCTTCAGTCTGATGGCCAGTCAGCTGTTTATGGTTCTGTGAATTAAAGGCAGGGTTGTAATACATATGCACCTTGACCAACATTTAAGACACCTTAAATACATACAATTTAGTCAGCTATGCCATGAATAAATTGAACCTAAAGTAATTTACTTTTTTCTTACATGGAGATCCAAGTGATTTCATATAATATTTTATTTAAAAGATTAATTTCTTAAGCAGAGTCTAGAGTCAGATACATTCAGCCCAATTACTTCAGTAATTTCTCTGTTTCTAGTACAGAGAAACAGAGGTGGTTTGATAATTTTCTTTTCCTATTCCTCACTTTCTTAAATATTTACTTGTGGATTAAAATTTTTGGTGGCATCATTATGTAACTACACATATTCATAAAAACTTGAATTAAATTTTGTGAGGTGATTTACTGAGAATGTCATTTAAAAAAGCCTTTACCCTCAGAAATATACACCATATGGCAGATGCTTAGATACAGCTAAACTGGAATAAATACACTACATTGAACTGTTCAATCACTTTCTTTTATAGTGTTTAATAAATATTCTAAATGAAGTTCTAATCATAGTGCTTTGAAGGACAGGATTCCTGCCTTTATCAACACAGACAATAAATGATAGAATGGTAGAATCTATACTTCTTAGGCTCTGCTGTGGCTGTTTGTCTCTCTGTCTGCTTTGTACTGCCTCCTCCCTCACCCCTCCTCCTGTCCCTTCTTTCACCTCTTCAATCTCATGGTAGTTCAGGAACTAAAGACTTCTGAAAAATCTTTACGAGTTCTTATTCCCCAGAAACAGAAGAGGAAGCATAGGAGGCGAGTACAGCCCAGGAGTAGATGCTGAAGGGCATATATACCTGTATTCTAGGGTGACTGCTGTATTTGTAGGGCAGGCTCTTTACAAAGCCCTGTTTCTAGCTCTGTGAAGACGGACCTGCCTCTCTCTCTTCCATCTTACCTTTATCCTTATGCTATGTTATTTTTATGGCAATGGGATATAACAAACTATGAGAACTTAAACTGCAGACAGCTAGAATGTCTAACTGTGGATTTTTTTACTAACGATATGCTTTTGTGTTTCTTTGTTTAGGATCAGACTCTGTGATTTTACTCAAAGTGAAAGATTCCCAAACTCCAACTCCCAGGTAATCTTTGGAAAAAGGACAGTCTTAACTTACTGTTTTCCCTCTCCTTGATCACAATTCCTTCACTCAGAGCTACACAGTGTGAAAACGAACCGCCTCAAGTCAGACCTGTCCCCTGTGTTGTAGAATCCCTTCAGTGACCCTGTCATCGGTCCTCCTTCCTCAGACCTCCGTTTGTCCCTCATTCCATCTTCCACCGTGGTCTCTAGTCCTTCTTTCCATTGTTCTTTCATCCATCTTCCATTCAGCAGCCAGGGTGATCTTTCTGAAATGTGGTCGGATCGTTCATTAATCTCTCCCAAGGACGGTTTATGAGACATAGAATCAAGCCCAAGTTCCTTGATAGTTTAAGAGACCTTCCTCCAAGAGCCCCGCTTCCTGTCACACATTCTGTCCTTTCACAAGTGTTACCTGCAGCCTGCTGTGTGCCAAGAGCCCGCCAGATTCTGGGGACATCAGCAGGGAACAAAATGAAGTCCGGCTCCAAGGAGCTTCCATTCTGGTTGTAAAGGGTGTAAGGAGAGGGATGGGAGACACACATTAACAAACAAAAACATCTATGCCTGGTGGTGACAAGTGCTGTGAAGAAAAATAAGCAGGATAAATATATAAGCTGGGGTTGGGAGGGACTCTGTTTATCTAGGGTGGTGGTCATGGCAAGCCTCTGAGAAGGTGACATTTGAAGAGAGACATGATTGGAGGTAAGAGGAAGAGCCATATGGGACCCGGTCACAGGTCTGTGTGGTTCAATCATGGTGTGCATTCACCTTCACAGTCAGTGTTCCTTCTGCCTGGTGTATAGCCCCTACCTCAACCTGTCTATCTGGTAGTAGTCTCTTGCCTTCTAAGTCTCAATTCAGATGTGATCTTCTGGATGAAACTTGACATCTCTGTACACATCAAGTACTTCTTTCTCTGCACTACTTACATTGCTCTGTCTTTGCCATATGGCCTTACAGTTCAATTGCTAGAGTAATAATGGTATCGGTTTTCCATTGAGAAGATTAGGGATAATAAAATGTTCTTTTTCATCTCAGTTCCTGTATCTTCCACTCTTCTACATGTTCTAAACTTCAGATACTTTTTAAAAATCTCTCTTTGTTATAGTTTCTCTAGGAGACTTACAGTTTAGATTCTTTATTCTTTATACTTTTTTTTTCTTTTTGAGTCATACCTAGCTTCTTGACTTTTCTAGGCTTCAAATAACTTCAATGTAAGAAAAAAAGTAAATAAATGTTAGAGATGAAAGCCATCTCTGGAAAATACTTACACTCTTAAAAATTGGCTAGAGTAGATGACTGTCAGCAAGCTATCCTACCCTGATCTTGACTATTCTAGTTACTCTCTTGAGGCTTTCTAATAGGTATCAGGAATCACAGGGTTTGTTGGAATCCTAATTAAGAGGTCCTCAGATGTTTTATTTCTGGGACTCTCTTAGTTGACTCAAAAGTGATCACCAACTGGCCTTCTGGTTTCATATCTAGAATCTGGCTTCTTTGCATTATTATTTACATATATTCCTCATAATTTTCCAAAATATACTATCTGATATATACTATCACTCAACTCCTTTTATATGTACTTTATAATTTTCTAAAATATCCCTAATGAATCATAATTTTTAATTATCTTGAGGAGTCTGCCTGAGCTTTGGCAGAGCTTCTGGGAGTCTAGATGCTACTTTGAGAAACACTTGGCTCACTGGATGTGTTTAAGATTTTTTTTTCTTTTGTAGACGGTCCAAGAAGAAGAAAGAGAGATTTATAGACAACTGCTACAGATGGTCACAGGGAAGCAGTTTTCTGTAGCCAAACCCACTACACATTTTCCTTTACATCTGTAAGTCACAGGAACATATTTCAAATGAATTTAATTCTACATTTTGTCATTTGATATTGAAACTGTAACCTCCTCTTGCTAGGTCTCGATGTCTTAGTTCCAATAAGAATCCTTTGGAAGACCCACTGTTTAAAAATGGCACCTCTTGTGCAGCTCCAATTGTTGGGTCTGATACTTCGTCATCTGGATCTGCCAGCATCTTGACTACCCAGGACCAGCTGTCCCACAGTGTGTGCTCCTTGTCTTCTTATGCTCCAGATGTCGTGGCCTTTGGACCCAGAGATTCTGATCCCCTCCACCAAGCTCAGCATCATCAAACACTTCCACATCAGCCAGATAACTTATCAGTTTCAAATACGCACTCTGAAGGTAAAAATGGTGTGGCGTAGCTCTGTCTTCAGTCTGATGGCCAGTCAGCTGTTTATGGTTCTGTGAATTAAAGGCAGGGTTGTAATACATATGCACCTTGACCAACATTTAAGACACCTTAAATATATACAATTTAGTCATCTATGCCATGAATAAATTGAACCTAAAGTAATTTACTTTTTTCTTACATGGAGATCCAAGTGATTTCATATAATATTTTATTTAAAAGATTAATTTCTTAAGCAGAGTCTAGAGTCAGATACATTCAGCCCAATTACTTCAGTAATTTCTCTGTTTCTAGTACAGAGAAACAGAGGTGGTTTGATAATTTTCTTTTCCTATTCCTCACTTTCTTAAATATTTACTTGTGGATTAAAATTTTTGGTGGCATCATTATGTAACTACACATATTCATAAAAACTTGAATTAAATTTTGTGAGGTGATTTACTGAGAATGTCATTTAAAAAAGCCTTTACCCTCAGAAATATACACCATATGGCAGATGCTTAGATACAGCTAAACTGGAATAAATACACTACATTGAACTGTTCAATCACTTTCTTTTATAGTGTTTAATAAATATTCTAAATGAAGTTCTAATCATAGTGCTTTGAAGGACAGGATTCCTGCCTTTATCAACACAGACAATAAATGATAGAATGGTAGAATCTATACTTCTTAGGCTCTGCTGTGGCTGTTTGTCTCTCTGTCTGCTTTGTACTGCCTCCTCCCTCACCCCTCCTCCTGTCCCTTCTTTCACCTCTTCAATCTCATGGTAGTTCAGGAACTAAAGACTTCTGAAAAATCTTTACGAGTTCTTATTCCCCAGAAACAGAAGAGGAAGCATAGGAGGCGAGTACAGCCCAGGAGTAGATGCTGAAGGGCATATATACCTGTATTCTAGGGTGACTGCTGTATTTGTAGGGCAGGCTCTTTACAAAGCCCTGTTTCTAGCTCTGTGAAGACGGACCTGCCTCTCTCTCTTCCATCTTACCTTTATCCTTATGCTATGTTATTTTTATGGCAATGGGATATAAACAAACTATGAGAACTTAAACTGCAGACAGCTAGAATGTCTAACTGTGGATTTTTTTACTAACGATATGCTTTTGTGTTTCTTTGTTTAGGATCAGACTCTGTGATTTTACTCAAAGTGAAAGATTCCCAAACTCCAACTCCCAGGTAATCTTTGGAAAAAGGACAGTCTTAACTTACTGTTTTCCCTCTCCTTGATCACAATTCCTTCACTCAGAGCTACACAGTGTGAAAACGAACCGCCTCAAGTCAGACCTGTCCCCTGTGTTGTAGAATCCCTTCAGTGACCCTGTCATCGGTCCTCCTTCCTCAGACCTCCGTTTGTCCCTCATTCCATCTTCCACCGTGGTCTCTAGTCCTTCTTTCCATTGTTCTTTCATCCATCTTCCATTCAGCAGCCAGGGTGATCTTTCTGAAATGTGGTCGGATCGTTCATTAATCTCTCCCAAGGACGGTTTATGAGACATAGAATCAAGCCCAAGTTCCTTGATAGTTTAAGAGACCTTCCTCCAAGAGCCCCGCTTCCTGTCACACATTCTGTCCTTTCACAAGTGTTACCTGCAGCCTGCTGTGTGCCAAGAGCCCGCCAGATTCTGGGGACATCAGCAGGGAACAAAATGAAGTCCGGCTCCAAGGAGCTTCCATTCTGGTTGTAAAGGGTGTAAGGAGAGGGATGGGAGACACACATTAACAAACAAAAACATCTATGCCTGGTGGTGACAAGTGCTGTGAAGAAAAATAAGCAGGATAAATATATAAGCTGGGGTTGGGAGGGACTCTGTTTATCTAGGGTGGTGGTCATGGCAAGCCTCTGAGAAGGTGACATTTGAAGAGAGACATGATTGGAGGTAAGAGGAAGAGCCATATGGGACCCGGTCACAGGTCTGTGTGGTTCAATCATGGTGTGCATTCACCTTCACAGTCAGTGTTCCTTCTGCCTGGTGTATAGCCCCTACCTCAACCTGTCTATCTGGTAGTAGTCTCTTGCCTTCTAAGTCTCAATTCAGATGTGATCTTCTGGATGAAACTTGACATCTCTGTACACATCAAGTACTTCTTTCTCTGCACTACTTACATTGCTCTGTCTTTGCCATATGGCCTTACAGTTCAATTGCTAGAGTAATAATGGTATCGGTTTTCCATTGAGAAGATTAGGGATAATAAAATGTTCTTTTTCATCTCAGTTCCTGTATCTTCCACTCTTCTACATGTTCTAAACTTCAGATATTTTTTAAAAATCTCTCTTTGTTATAGTTTCTCTAGGAGACTTACAGTTTAGATTCTTTATTCTTTATACTTTTTTTTTCTTTTTGAGTCATACCTAGCTTCTTGACTTTTCTAGGCTTCAAATAACTTCAGATGGGTTACTCTTCTGAACCTCAATTTCCTTGTCAATAAAATGCCAGTATAAATACCTTACTGTGGAGTTGTGAAGATTAACTTACAGAGAAAGCACTTACAAAAGTGATTCAAATGTAGTATATAAAATTGTATTTCAGATTCTTTTCTGGGAAAAAGTATATCTCATGTAAAGAGCACTTTCAGTTATTTAATGGTTCTTTATTACTAAGCCTTTCCTTTATGAGAATTTCTCCTAATGATGACTAAAGAATGAGATGGAAGGAGAAATGGTCTGTCAGGTAAAGGCTGATTGAATAATGCTGCTTTTCGAAGTTGGGGCCTACTGTCCCAAAGCTTAATCTCCCTCCACTGCCTCTCAGTCCTATTTCTGTCCTAATTTCCCAGAATATGCCATGCTGTTGTCATGCCTCTGTGCCACCATATATTTTGATTCTTTTGCCAGGAATCCCCTTTCTTTCCTTGTCCACTTGTTAAACTCTTATTTTGCTTTTCAAAATCTGACTCAGATGTTATTTTTCTCTCAGGACATTTCTCTGACTTCTCCCGTTAGCATTAGTCTTCTCTAGAACGTCTATCCCTGCACCGTGTTCATCACTAATACCTTTGCACTTATCACCTGATGCCATTCATACTGCTTGGGACATGGTGGGTACTTGGGAAATAAGTCTTTGTTAAATAAATGAATTTCCTAGAAAGCCTGAAATACTCTCTTGAATAGCCCAAGTACTCATCTCCATTTGGTTTAATGCTTTGGCTTATTAAAAGGCACTTTACAATAGCAGCACAGACTGGAATTTGATTAGAGACATAGTTTCTAATCCTGGCTCTTCAAAGACAGATTATCCTTCTGAACCTCAATTTCCTTTTCTGTACATTTATGAGTAATGATTTCTTATTACATATGATACTGGGGTTTAATTAATATGAGGATTATCGTGAGGCTTAACTAACATGTAAAACACGTAGAGCAGAGTTTTACCCATAGGGCAGTATGAATAGGCTAGGCGGTCATGAATAGTTGTAATTAATTACTATTACTATGTGTTTCACTTCTGTGAGAAACAACGCATAGTCTCTTTGAAGAGCAAAGAGATTTTACTTTTCCCTCACATTTTACTTTCCTAAGCCAGCAGATCCCTTGATCTCTTGAAGAGAAGTGCTTACTCCTTACATTATTCATTTATTCACTAAATACTGAGTGCCTGCTATGTGTCAAGCACTGTTCTTAATGCAGAAGACACAGTAGTAAGTACAAAAGACAAAAATTTCTGTCCTCATCAAGTTTATACCCCAGTCAGGGATATAGACAAAGTTGGATAGCATGCTCCACTACTGTTAGATTCTGGGTACTTCTCGCCACCTCTTTGTATTGTGCAATAAATGTGTTCTTACATTCATTTGTCTTTAGTATTACAGCCTAAGTGGGCCCTCACAGTGCTACCACTGATCTCTGGGCTTTCTCTCTCGGTTATTACTTTAGGTGTTCACTGTGCCAAGGGGATAGGCCTCCTCCCTTTATGTTCTCCCCACTACTAACCTCAATGATATGGGAGAAGCAGTAGAATAGCATTTTCATTGCTAAACCCCAGCCTGAGGATAACTGGGATAACAATTCCCAAAAGTTAGGCTGAGGAGCCAGGGATATCCTTGGAGCCTGTGTTGCTACCTTCACTAGGACAGATTGTAGAGGCTTAAAACTGAAGGGACTCTGCTCTCCACGTCTTATGTCTAGAGACTAAGTGGAAGTAAAGTAGCTTTGCTCCAAGTCACAGAGCTCACTGGAGACAGCATCAGGAGATCCAGGGCTCTGACCCCCCAGGCTGACTCTTTAGTTACTTGTTCTATGAATCTAGACATTTTCATTGGAAGGAGCTCCATCTTCTTCTGTTTGCTTCTGTGAGAAGTGCATCAGTGAGGGCTTGGCAAGGAGATGAGAGTTTGAGAAGAGCCAGGGGCTCTGGGACAGACACTATGCCTGTGACTCTGAAGCATCATCATCCCCTTGGGCCACAGTGAGCCGCAGGAATAGAATAGGTCTCATCTTTGGAACAAAGTCATATTGCTGATTCTCCATCTTGGTTCATCAACTTATTACCCATTTGATACTATTCTGTGGGTGGGTTTTCAGTACTGATAATGATTTAATCAAATAATATTTTGAGTCAAGTAGACTGACAAGTCTAAGAACCAATAAGATTTGATTAAATCAATGATAAATGTCAATCTGAACCAGGTGGAAAGAGGACTCTTCTAGCTTAAAATATTATTTTCACCAGTAATGTCCTCTTTCACATCATGTTTGTCTCATGCAAGTGCTGAAACTAATCTCTCTGCTGACCTTTGGGTTATCTTTTTAACAAAAATGTATGCAAATGACTCATCTTTATATTCCTTTGGTTCACAGTTACAGTTATGCAATTAGGGACCTTGTATTTATTATATTCTTATAAAGCATTATTATTAATTATTTAAGTCATGGGTTTTGTAGGTGAAATATTTACATTTTCTTATAAGCCTCCTGCTCATTTATCACATTTTTCTTTTTCTACCCATAGTCCTGCTTTTTTCCAGGCAGAGCTTTGGATCAAAGAATTGTAAGTTTTTATTTCTGGTACCATTTTTTTCTTCTCCAACACTTCCTTTTTCAGCTAGAAGAAATCAAACAATTAGCCAATCACCCTACCTATTTTTAGTCAGTAAAAATTCCCAATTTATATCTATTTACAAAAACAACTTTTAAGTTGTTGGATTTTTAAATTTCTTTTGGGGTTGGGACATCTCTATGCTCAGTTTATTGAATTTATTGTTGAAGCTAAGTTGAATTGGAAAAGTATTTCAAAGTTAACTATTATGTAGAAAGGAAAATAAACACTCTTACTTTTACGTTAATAAAACTAGTTTATTGAGTAATTCTCCTTTCTGGAGTTTGCACAACTACTGAAAACTTCTGGTCTCCAGTTTCAAGAACTCACTTTGAGTTATCCCCCTGGTCTCATTTTATATGGATAAAAATAACCCATATTTCTTCCTTTGGGTGATTATATAATATTTGAGTTAAAACCTCAATGATATCTTGCATTATTTTCTCATTTGGGATTCAGTCTCATTTCTGAATTTTTAAAATGAAGATTTGCTTTCTTCATAATCTTAGAAGCATGTTAACAAATAGAAATACACATTTATAAATATCCACGAAAGTCACTTGTTCATGTTTAGCAACAAAGTAAAAATATTCATCATTTCAGTAAAAGTACTAGGATAATTTCACTAACACCATATGATTTTACTCTGTCTTAAAATATAACTCTAGTAGTGGGTTAGTGTAAGGATTTTAGACTTTGTATATGAGGGTTTTATATTTAATGTTCATTGTGTATCAACATTGTGCCTGATGTAAAGAGACTGGCCTGTGTTTGTGTCACATTCCTTTTCATTTCCTAGAACTAGTGTTTATGATTCTCGAGCCCGGGAAAGATTGCGCCAGATTGAAGAGCAGAAAGCATTGGCATTACAGCTTCAAAACCAGGTAAAAAAAAGAAAGAAAGAAAGGATAAGATTATAAATAAAGAGCACATACAAGTTGAAACTAATTTTGACAGTTATCTGGATTTGGGATCAACACTGTTGTAATTGCAAGATTGTGTGGTGGCATAGCGCTGTAGGATAGGGAGTATGTGCTCTTAGTCTCTCCAGCTAATGCTCAGTGTACAAAGACAGAGAGTAGATTTCTTATCTTGCTTACTTTGAAGTTCTGTCCTTCAGAGATTACAGGAACAGGAACATACTGTCCATGACTCAGTAGAACTGCATCTTCGCGTACCTCTTGAAAAGGAGGTCCCTGTCACTATCTCCCAGCAAACAGAAAAAAAAAGTCGTGAATTAACTAACAGTGAAGATGAATTTCCGGAAATCACAGAGGTAAATGACATACTATAAGTTCTTGAACGAGCAAATATTGTATTTAGAAAGACTGCTTTGGATAAATCTCAAATGTAAAAGTAATAGAACACCTGGTATTTAAATTGTGTTGCATACACCTACTTTCATTTGTTCTACACACCAATCTTGACTTTATCTTTAAAGGATTATTGAAAATTGAGGAAAGACTAATGGGTGGCTTTTAGCGACTTCAGTGAACAAGAATTTAATAAATTTGTGTTTCATTTCCTGTGCATTTCTACTTAATGCACATGAACAGCAGTAGTATACTGAGGCTATTTTTTTAAGTAATAAAAACTCGATAAAAATTTGGAAAATATATAAAAATCTATGTACATTTTAAAATAATCTGTTCCTTAGTCCATTCTTCTGTTTCAAAACTGTCATATAGCTGGTGAATACTATCCATTTATTATAGCTGTGTTAGAGCCCATATTTTACAGTAAAAAAATAAAACAAAAAATTTCTATGATAATGTATCTAAACAATACTACCTTTATTCCCTTACTACCTTTTGGGACAGATTCTACTTCTCAGGAAAGAGACCAAAGATATAAATATAACTCGTTTAGACCAAAGATATAAAATATAACTAGGTCTTCCCATGGACTTAGAAAATTTGATAGAAGGTTATTTCAGACTTTAAGAGTAATATGAAGCCAGGGTCTGAAATGTGCTGAAAAAGAGGACAACAAGATGGAATCAGGGAAAGGAATAGAAACAAAATTGTTCAAAATAAACAGTTGATTAGTGATAAATATAGTGTGAGGACTGTATGAGGCTTGGTGAGAAATCAGGTGTGTCTGAACTCTTGTATGCTTGGTTCCCCAGGAAATGGAGAAAGAAATTAAGAATGTATTTCGCAGTGGGAACCAGGATGAAGTTCTGAGTGAAGCATTCCGCTTGACCATTACTCGCAAAGATATTCAGACTCTAAACCACCTGAACTGGCTCAATGATGAGGTAACCTTACACCCACTTTAATGTTCATATAGGTAGTGAGCATTCAGTGGAAACTAAATCAAGTCACTACCTCACTGTTTATCAAAGTGTGGTCCTCGGATGACCTGCTTCAGAACCAGCCCTCACGGGCCCCTCCATTCTGCTAAATAAGTATGAAGCAGCCTGGTGCCCAGTGGGATTTTAAACAAACATCTCAGGTCATTTTTATGTACCTTAAA